TTAAGGCTAGGTATCTTGAATCTTTTGGGTTCTCTTCTCTTTGTAACTCCACCTAGTTCTCACACCCTCCAAAAAATTCAATTCTTAAGAACGACTTTTTTTCAAGACCGCGTGAGAGGTGGCACATCGACCGAAAAATGACTATCCTCATATTTCAGTCAGAGATGCCTTATAGTGAACTTAGAAACTTGGTAAGGTTTTTTCCCAGACTTTCTTCTTTATCCTAGAAAATTCACGAAAACTGAAACGAGCGTCAGTTGCCGTAAAATGGCGGAAATCAGTGCCCCGAGTAGAGGCCAATCAACTTTGCTCGTGAAAAGCGCGAAAGAAAGCAAGCTCTTATCAGTTTGACAAATTTGTATATATATAGGAGGGGTTGAGGTATGGCTTAAGTCTAAAGCGGGACCGTTTCATTTAATTTTGACATCACGGAAAGCTTTCAAAAATCCCCGATATTTCGAAATCCAAAAGAAAGCAAGCTCGTATCAGTTTGACAAATTTGTATATATATATAGGAGGGATTGAGGTTATGGCTTAAGTCTAAAGCGGGACCGTTTCATTTAATTTTGACATCACGGAAAGCTTTCAAAAATCCCCGATATTTCGAAATCCAAAAGAAAGCAAGCTCGTATCAGTTTGACAAATTTGTATATATATATAGGAGGGATTGAGGTTATGGCTTAAGTCTAAAGCGGGACCGTTTCATTTAATTTTGACATCACGGAAAGCTTTCAAAAATCCCCGATATTTCAAAATCCAAAGGAAGCACGAGGGAAAAAGCTGCAAGGACATTTATTTTCAAACAAAAAAGCTGGAGCTTGAAGGTTATAACAACTTACTATATGGTAGGACAGTCTTGAGGTAAATCCGAGCATTCTGATTAGCTCTTACTTGGTCTGGATCTTGCCAAACGGACCATTTCCACGGACACTGTCATTAGCCGTATATTTTGGTTCGCGAAAGCCGAGAAATTAAAACTAAAGAAGTTTTCCCGAGCGTCATGATAAAGTACTTAGTAACTTCGCTTACTTGAGCTGTGTGGGAAATATTGGCCCTCGGTATTTTTGTACGGACCTCGCTGCGATCACTCTATACTACTACGATTTTAAGCCAATAATAAGTACAGCCCTCGCGCTTGGTTAATAAGAAGTAATTATTTGCGCCAACTGCTCAATTGTGTTCCTTTCCACAGCCTCTGTAATTAAGAAGGCTGACACATTAAGTCTCTGTAAGCAAACCAAAAATTTAAAGAAAATCCGGAACAACATGCCGCGCCATTTTGGCAGTTTGACTAGACCGCCGCTTTGCAGCATTTTGGAAGTCCTCCTCGAAATGATCATTTTAACATTGAAAACCTAAAAAAGGGTTAGCTAGAAAATTCATCTCAAAAGTGCCTTACTAATTCTGCGATAAGGCCTCCGCGTTTTTCCTTTAGCATGGCTGGATAGCTCTTCTAGAATGCATGGCGTTTTTGTGACCCTCTCCTTCATCCAATGCCTCAAAAACAGTGGTGCCCGGAACTGGTGATCTAGTCTAATTGCTGGAAAGTGTGTTGATAACTGCCGCTCGATCTAAAATTAAAACTATCCCGGCCTCAACATCGGTATTGCCGATAGTCTTTAAATCTTTTAGATCATTTACGGAACGACATTAGCTCAACATCGGTATATCAAAAGAATTACCTTTTTCTCTACTTAGTTGGTTTAATTTGGGAACAGTTTCGAGCCCAACCAATTTCCGTGTATTTTGTAACCAGTACTTTCAATTTGGGAAGAACGTTCTTAAATCAGTTAAGATTCTTTGTTTGTGGTAGTGATTTCAAATCTCACATTTTTTATATTGTTTATCATACATTTGTCCTCAGGTCTAGTTCACCCTATCTATTTTATTCTGTTTCCAGCTACATACTCGGTATTCTTCTTCTATTCCGATCATTTCGTACTTTGCCTCTATTTCGCCCTTACTCTGACCTTTGATCCATTCCTTATCCTTTTTTCTTTAGCTATTTGTTGGTTTTGTGTTCTGCTTATTAGCTCTTCTAAGTAATGTTACTATCACATTCAACTCTACATGAGATCCCCTCTGCTAACTTAACAAGTTTCACAGCAATGACTAACTGATAAGAACAATTATCATATAAACAAGTTTGTTAAAAAACGCTATTTAAGAATTACTCACTGAAGTGGAGGTGGTTAGGGATGGATACTTTACCGAGCCGCGAAGTGGCGAGGTAAATATCCACCGCTAACCACCGACACTGAGGTGAATAAAGGCTGATAGTTTCTAAAGGAACTGTTTGGGGCTGCGTCGGTGGGGGTAACGAAATAATTTCAATATATCAACAAAGTTGAAATGGTAAATTGGCCACCGTTACGATTATAAAAGCTGACGTTTCGAGCGTTAGCCCTTCGCTCCGACGAAGGGCTAACGCTCGAAACGTCAGCTTTTATAATCGTAACGGTGGCAAATTTACCATTTCAACTTTGTTGATATATTCAAATTATACTGAGGTGAATAGTTTTTTTAGTACATACTAAAACAGTGAGATAATATACACCACCAAATTTAATCTCAGGGATTTCTTCCCTTGTCACGGATGCAAAACGGGACGCCATTTTTTCCCGAGTTGCTGGGAGGTAACTAGCACAGGATATTCGGGGTTTGACTAGCCAATCAGAGCGCGCCTTCGACGCTATCCACTGTTTTAGTATATACTTATCATCGATATTCGTGGCCATGAAATCTCAAGATGGGAACAAGATTGAAATAATTTCAGCTTTGCGTGACAAATGCTTGAGTACGTCACATCTACACACAGATTGCTTCCCGTCTTCAACGTATTCGGCAGAGAACATTTAACCTGCCGTTATAAATGATTGGATTGTCCTCTTTTAAGTCGACAATGAAGCTCAAGTTTACCCCAGAACTTTCTTAGGACTTATAGGTGTTCGAATACCCAAAGAAAAACAGACACCTTCCGCTCGCGT